CCCCCCACACCCCCCCACACCCCCGAGGAGCTTCACAGAGGAAGAGAGATTTGAGATGGGCCTGGATTAACTTGAATAGGCAGTAACGGGTGAGAATTAAGAGGCCAGCTTGCCAGGACAGAAAGAGCATCTTCAAAGGCACAGAGTGAGAAGTCTGACATTTGTTTTAGGGACACTGAGGGGGTCAATTGACAGAGTGGAGGCTCGTGTGGTAAAGCCATAGGGCAGTAAGGCTTACCAGGACGGTGGGATGCGATTTTGGAAGACTGTCTGTCAGTGCAGTCTGGTTTTACCCGTAGGCGGGAGGACTGGATTCCTGGAGGGTTGCTGAGTAAGAGGGATAGGACGAAAGGAGAGCGTGGGGACGGTAACCTGACAGTGAGTGAGGGCGCCTTAGGAGGTGTGGGGCTGGGGCTGGAGATTGGACGAAGACTCACTCGAATTCCAGTGGCTCGGCCGAGGGAGCGTGCTGTCTGTAGGGGATGGAAGGAGAGGAGAGCCTGCTGACTGGGGAGGGGTGCTGGCCAGGCAGGCTCCACAGCCCACAGAGTGAAAGGGACTGGGGAAGACAGGTTTGACAGAGTGGTGTGTCATGGATGGAAAGTCAACAGGAAGATGTTTGGCGGGAGGCTGGTAATAAATTACCACCTAGAAACATGAAAATTGTGTTTGGCTTTAGGCAGAGAGACTAAATGTATTTTAAAAAGTTTATTGACTTTATTGAGCCATAACACACACCATAAAATCCACACGTTCGTGGTACGGCTTGGTGGTTAGCTAACATCCAGGCATGCGCAGCCATCGCCACAGAGCAGTCCTAGCGTGTGTCTCCCGGGCAGCTGCTGGTGCCCTGGTCAGAGCCTCAGTTTTCCCACGGTTCCTCAGAGCCCAGCGCCCCAGGGAGGCGCCGCAAACCTGGAAGGACTTTTTGCCAAGTGATGAAGTTTTCAAGTGCCATACAAGCATGCCCACCATCTTTGTCTCGTTTACTTTTGAGATTTCAGTGAAAATTTTATTTGGAAAGCAGTTCTGTCAAAAGTTTGAAAACCTCTGGTTTCATGCCTAGAACAAATAGAGAACATATTTTTCTAGTGTAATCTTGTGTGAATTCGTCCCAGTACTTCCATCGTTGTGTAAGTTTTGAGCTGTTTCCCATATGTACATTTTTATTTTACTCTTTGCTTCAGACTTCAGGGTCGTTTTTCTACTAGTAATCCTGTCTGTGTCTAGTGAAGTAAAAGCCTTTTTTCTGACCTTTTCATTACAAACTTTTAGTGAAGGAATATATTTTTTAAATCTTGGCTTCTATAATTAACACCAGAGTCTTTCTTCTGCATCCTGCACTTTTCAAATGTTTTCATGCCGGTATCTGAAAGGGTGATACTTTCATTTCCAAACTTGCAGGATAAAGCTTTGAAGTTTTTCAGCATCACTGGGCAAACAATGGAGAGTTTCGTGAAGTCGCTGGATGGGGACGCCAAGGAGCTCGATTCTGACGAGAATCAGTTTGTTTTTGCTCTGGCGGGAATCGTAACAAGTAAGTTGTCCTTTTCAAGACTAGTGAGTGTTTCAAGTGCATCCTAGAGCAGTGATTGCAGACAGGTGTGTGGGCATAAGCATCTCTGAGGAACTTGCCCAGATCCCCACGGCTCTTCCCCTGGGGAATCTGGGATAGGTGATCACCTTCCGCCAGGTGATTCTGCCACGCACGGTATTGGTGAGTGGGTACGACTGGGCTTAGGAAGCACGGGCTGAGTATAATGTCCCTTGAGTCTACATCGACGAAGTCAGAGCCAGACTGTGTGTTGACATACTCGTTACTGGGCGTCCTTGTCACTTTATTAACGTCTAGTCAAGGAAAAGCCTGAGCTGAGCTCAGCCATGCTCTTGCTGCCTCTGTGGGGCAATGAAGATTCCAGACCTAAACTGTCTCCTTTGTAACTTTCTCCCCAAGATTGTAGTTGTAGCTATGATAGGGTTCTGTGGCCAAGCTGCGGTAAAGGACAAAGTCAGATGATAGCTGCTCTCGCAGCATTCGGGAGGGTCAAGGCTTTTCTTTCCAAGTCAGCGGAAGAGTGACGTGCATGGCTGGGGCTTATCTTTTCACGTTGCTCTTTCGTCTCTGCTGTGTGTCTTTGGGTAATTCTCTCGCATTAAAGAGAGAGGAACTTTTATTTTTCCTCATGGCATTATCCTCCATCTACTGACACCCTGATGAGGGAGATCCTGTGTAGACCGTAGTCCCTTCCTAATCCTTTAAGAATTGGTGACGCCTTTTCTGAGCAGATGGGAGAGGAGACCACGTGGTCTCCAGGCCAGTTCTGCTTTAACCCAGCACTTAATCTGCGGCAGGACGGCGGCGTGTACTTTTACCATAGCACCTTCAGTGGACGCTTGCATTGCTCTCCTTTTTAAAATTGTCCTAAGGTCTTCTTTTTCCAAACAGAAGACACTTGCAAGCTTGATGACTAGATTTCCTGCTATTTGCTGGTGACGCCAGAGGTCTATGACATGTGTGATTACTCGTTCTGCTGAGCCGTGAACTTGAGCCGCCTGACTTGCTGGCTGGTGTGTGGCAGTGAGGCCTGGCCAGCGGGCAGAGCCAGCTGGTGCCCAGCACACAAGCTCACCTTGGTTTTGTTTCTTCTGCTGGGAGTGGCTTGCGCAGGAACTCTCAGAGTTGGGAGGTGGGCAGTTGTGTTTTCACTTCCATGCTGATGAATTTTACTGGGAAGATTACTGACTGGGGAGGTTTCATTGCAGTGCTGTTCCGCAGAGGCCTGGGGGTCTCATGTGTCTTAGATACCAAGACACCCTGCCTTCTGTGGGGAGTAGGCAGTGCCACAGAGACCTGGCTTAACTGTCCTCTAAAACAGGGCTCGTTTTAAAGTTTACATGCAGTAAAGATCCTTTACAGGATTTTCCTTCACTTTTTGTAGCTCTGAGGGTTTTGACAAAGGCATGTAATCACATAACCCCCACAGTTGGGATGTGGAACAACTCCATCACCTCCTCCGTATCTGCCCCACCCCTTTCTCTTCCCGTCAGCCCCAGGCAACCATGCTCAGCTGGCACTTTGTTAAAACCTGTAGCTGAGCTTCTTTGGCTGGCTTGTCTGGCTTCCCGCGTCTGCCCCAGGTACACTGGTGCCTGCCCCACGCCTCTCCCCGGAGTCCCTGACTTTTCCTGTTTCTCACATTAGCTGGCTGATCTCTGAACTCAGTTCTCTGATGGGTTCAAGAAAAGTTGTGATTTTGCAAGTTACCGCCCCTACCTTTTAAAGAATTGAGGTGTCGCTCTTCCCTGTTGTTGTTATTGTTGCTGATAGACTTATTAACAGATTTACTGAGACAGAGAAATATACACACAACTCACCAGTCTAAGGTATATAATTGTATATAGTTGTGCATCCATCCCCACAACGATTTTCATTCAGTTCCCCCCAAAACCCCTGCCGACCTTTGCCCTTATGCCCCAGTCCTGCCATTGCCCCCAGCTTTAGGCACCCCCTGATCTACTTACTGTCTTTATAGATTGGTCCATTCTGGACATTTCATGTAATGGAGCCGTGCACTGTGTGGTCGTCTGACTGGCTTCTGTCGCTTAGTGTAGTGTTTTCAGGGTCAAGCCCTGTGGTAGCAGGTACCAGGGCTTTATTCCTTTTCACGGCCGAACGATACCCCAGTGCATGGCAACCCCACATTTACCCATCCATCCATTAGTGGATGTTTGGGCTGTCTCTACCTTTTGGCTATTGTGAGTCATGATGCTGTGAATATTTGTGCACAAGCTTTTGTGGTAACATAGTCTTTGCTTCTCTTGGCTGGAGAGCTGAGAGTGGAATTGCTGGGTCCTATGGTAAGGCTTCCCCCTTTGGGGAACTGGCAGGCCACTTTCCACAGTGGCGGCACCATTGTGCATTCCCACCAGCAATGTCTGCGGGCTTCAGTTTCTCCACATCCTCGCCAACACATTTTTATTACCTTTTGGTTATAGCCATCCTAGTGGGTGTCTCATCGTGGTTATGATTGGCACGTCTCTGATGGTTAATGCTGTCAAGCATTTTTCATGTACTTATTGGTCATTTGTGTGTCTTCTATTTAAAATACTTAAATAGACATTTAAAATGGAGTTATTCGTCTTATTATTATTGAGTTATAATAGTTCTTTGTATCTTCTAAATACCAGGCCCTTATCAGATACATGATTTGCAAAATTTTTCTCTCTTTCTGTCATTGTCCAAGGATACTTTGATAAGTATCCTTTGAAGTGCAAAAATTTTAAATTTTGGTGATATCCAGTGATATATTTTTGGTGATAGCCCATATATTTTTTATTTAGTTCCTTGCGTTTTTGGTGTCATATTTAAGAAGCCATAACCATCCAAGGTTATGAAGATTTGCTCCTGCATTTTCTTCAACAAGTTTTATAGTTTTAGCCCCTACATTTAGGTCTTTGATCCACTTTAAGTTAATTTTTACACAAGGTGTGAGGTGTAGGGGTCCAGCTATTTCTTTGCATAAACATCGAGTTGCCCTAGTATTGTTTGTTGCAAAGATTATTCTTTTATCTTTTCTCTGCTCAGTTGTCATGACGCCCTCACTGAAAATCAGGTGATCATAAATGTGAGGGTTTGTTTCTGACTCAGCTCTGCTGCTGACCTATATGTCTCTCATTACGCTCGTGCTCCATTATTTCCATTGCTGAAACTAAGACAAAATTATTACAACCTAAAGCAAAAGTATCATACATGATACATCTCAACTCTTTATATCTTTAGCAGCATACATAATTGACACCAGATTCATTCTTAAATTGTATAATTACTATGGTAACTTCTAGAAATACTTTTAATAAAAAGTAAATTTAAAAAAATAAGTAAATAAAATAAATTAAATAAAAATTTTTTACAGAAAATAAACCAGCAATCCTTCATAGTCCTAGAGTTGACACAAGCACCCCAGACAGTTTGACAAATACTGGACCTATGTGTGTGGGAAGTTATCCCCACTTATTTTATTTCATAGTTTATTATTGATATTTAGTGAAATGCATTTGCTATTATAATACTGGACACACGATATGGGACTTTACTGACCAGTAAATTTGTTGGCTGTTATTGCCTGGTATGATGCAATAAGTTTTTGTTCTGTAATTGTTTCTTCGGTGACGTATTAGTGATGTCCCTGTTATCTATTGCTGTGTAAAGGGCCACCCCTCCACTTCAAGCCTTTAAACTACAGCAGTAATTTCGATTAGGAACCTGCAGTTTGCTGGGGGTTCGCAGGTGGTTTGCTGCTGCTCTGCAGTGGGCCCCCAGCCGGGTGGCTCACATCGTGGAGGGAAGGACAGCTGGGGCCCAGCGGGGCGGCCCTCTAGTCATGTCGTCTCAGGGCTGCTGTTTCTGTGGGCTCTGCGTCACCGCAGCCTCAGGGTTGTCACAGTGCTGTTCTAGCCTCAGGGCTCCTAGATCAAGTAGCAAGAGACCAAGGGGGAAGCAGGCAGGCTGCTTCCTGCCCAGCCTTGTAAGTCACGCAGCAGCGTCCTGCTGGTAACACGGGAGTCACAGGGAAAAATAAAAATAGAAGAAACATCCTTACACTCATAACGGCATCTGCCAGAATCATCCAGCCGACATCCACTGAACTGTGATTACTTGAACCATTTCCACTCGAGTCAGAGGACAGGACGCTGTTGCTGGCTCTGGTCCCCTGGGCTACCTTGAGTCATGTTTGTCACTAGACCCAGCCGAGATAGATGTACCGACATGTGCATGTTGTCCTGGGCTCAGCAGGGTGTCCTGGCAGGTGTCGAGTATAGAGGAGCCAGTGTGAGCTGCTCGGGGTCCTTGGGGAACCGTGGGGTTACTTGGTCTTGTCTCCACTGGCTCTGTGGCCTCAGGCATGAAGAGACGCGGCACCTGCTGATCCACAATACGGTGTCCAACTGAGGAGATAAGGTTCCCAGAGTCAGTTTTTTCGTCATCTTTGACCTCAGGATTTCTGCTGAGCCCTGTGGTTCACAGTCATTAGGAATTTGCTCCCAGGACTGGGTGGATTTTAGCATCCTTGGTTCCAGATGAAGTAGTCAGCCCCACTTTCTGTTTGGACCCCGATCCGCAGCCACTAATCTGTGTTCTGGAGCACGCGGTGCCCTGCTGTCCTGGGGTTGGCTGCAGGCGCTGTCCCCACTGCGGTGTTTGCTAATCACAGATGTGGCGCTGCTGTGACGTCAGTTCCTATTTTGGGGGGCTGTCAGCTTATGCCCCTGGTGTTCTGTGTTTTCACTGGGTCTGAGGAGAGAAACAGCAACAAATACTCCGTCGTGGTTAAATGTTCCTAGATTCTGAAGTTACAGAGATCATGACGCTTGGTGTCATCTTTCTGTTGCAGATGTTGCCGCCGTGGCCTGTGGCCGCGAGTTCCTGGTCAACTCCAGTCAGGTGCTGTTGGACACCATGCTACAGCTTCTGGGGGACCTGAAGCCGGGCCAGTGCACCAGGCTCAAAGTGTACGGTGATGGCGAGAAAGCCGCTGTGCTTTGCACATTAGTCTGAGTGGGCTGTGGGCTGACTGGACCTCCTCCAAGGGATGCGCTTTATCTGGCAACAGTTATAACAAAACAGAAGGAACAAACTGCCCCGGGAGTTAAGGGGCGCACTGTCTACCCAGTACCATGTTAGAAAAGTAATACAAGCAGAAGGGTTATGTCCTCACATTGGAGTAATCAGTGAGCCCCAGATGCTATCATGTGACACTTCAGGGTTATAATAATCACCTCAACATGATGTTACACAAGTATTTGTTATGGCAGCACTTGACTTCCAGGCACCCAAATCAGTATTCATTTACTGTTGCTGTGTAACAAATGACCACTAACTTAGTGGCTAAAACAGCACCGACTTCACAGTTCTGTAGGTCAGACGTCTGAGTGGGCTTGACTCCTTCTCCAGGGAGGGTCTCACGGCCAAAATCAAGGTGCTGTTCAGGGATGGGCTCATTTTTGGAGGCTCTGGGCAAGAATCTGCTTCCGGGTGTGTTCAGGTTGCTGGCAGAATCGGTTTCCTACATTTATAGGACTCAGGTCCGTGTTCTCCTGCCGGCTGTCAGGTGGGAACCACTCTCAGCTCCCATGAATGACTGATTTCCGTATCACATGACTCCACCTCATTTTCAAGCCCTAAGAGCTCAGTGATTGCTTCTTACACTTGGAACTTATCTGACTTCCTTTTCTGCTACTAGTCAGAGCAAACTGTCTGCTTTTGGTGGGCTCATGAGGTTAGCTTAGGCATAAGTGGATCCCCTCCTTTGATTAACTCAGCTGATTAGTAACCTTGCTCATATCTGCAGTGTCTGTACCGTGTCACTCGGGTGTGATACATGTGTACAGTCCCAGGGATCAGGGTGGGAAATGGTGGGACTCTGGGGGCACACCACTCACTGCCAGTGCTGGCTTTCCTCCGGGAGCATTTGTATACTGGCCTCGTAAAGCCTCTGTTAGATACTTCCATCAGCTGTCCTCTCGGTGCCTCCTGGTTGTCTTGTCCCATGTGAGTTGGTATTCTCCCTGTTTCTTTGGGCGCTGAGCAATTTTGGGGTTGCCTCCAACATTTGAATGTTATGTTTGCGACCCTGGGTCTTACTTAAATGCCTATTGAAAGAAACCTTCAAACATGGTTGGGTTTCTAAATGGTTTCCACTCAGAACTGTAGTTTTACCCGGAAACAACAGGACTCTCGAGCACAAACGTACTAGCAGCCATAGTGGTAATAGTACGCACTGGGAAATCACCTACACTTCTGTCAGCTGGAGAATAGATTGTGATCAATTTATATGTTGGGGCACATCAGTGAAAATCTATTAGAGCGATCCAGATCACCATGGAAACGTCCCACGATGGTGTGGAAGATGACGTCCAGAATGTTGCTGCTGATACAAACATGTCAGGTTCTGGACACATTTGTACAAGTTTATAGAAATGCTTGGCTGTGTCACATATCGAGTGGCAGCAGTGGTTCCCAGCCCCTGAAGTCGGTGTTCCGAGTTCACAGAGGGGATTTGACCACGGGGATAAGGTTTTATTAACCAGGAGGTGAGTATGCATTGTTCTTTGTACCTTGTGTGTCTTCACTGTTCCACAGTTGATAAAAATCCACCTGCAGATGCTTGATTAGGATTATATATGGCGTGGACCACAGACTTTGAGGCTGTAACTCGATGGGGCCGGGAGCCCAGAATCTGCACCAGCATGTGGACTAGTCATGCGCTGCTCTCTGAAATTGCTGGGCTCGAGCTGCAGGCTTCTGCCCGTCGCAGTCGCGGCCGGTCAGAGAGAGCTGTATTGTTCTGCAGGTGCTTCTCCTATAACAGGCAGCTTCTGTGGAATTTTACTGCTTGTTGTTCCTGAGAATTAATTACTCGATGGTGCTAATTTGGTTACTTAGATTTTAGCCGGTTTTGGATGACTGACTTGTAGTTTTTGTTTCTGTTGGGTGGAGGGACATCACAGTATGCCTTTTTGTTTCTTTTTCTGGTTGGTTTTGAGGTACTGGGTATGTTTATTCTTTGTTAGTGGTCATTTCTTTTAAGACAAAGAATGAGGTAGTTTAGTTGTATCACCTTTTAGTGACTCAGCCTTGTGGTCAGACTGTCAGGAGGGTTTTCTGGCTTTTCACCTGGAGAACCTGTTCCGCCCCAGGCCCGGTCCGTCCAGGCGACGGTTC